TAGAGGGGTCTACGCTCCTTCCATTCCACTCGAGTGGCGTTCATGACCGCCTCTGAAAAATGTAAATTAACTATTACTGTACTTAAATGAAACTACGAAAATTGAAAATAATACATCAAAACAGAAAATCAAGCGAGGAAATCACAAAATAAATTCTATATCCCCCCTACAGAATTTATTTTGTGATTTCCTTGCTTGATTTTCTTCGTGGTTTCATTGAAGTAAGAATTAATTTACCTTTTTCAGAGGTGGCCATGAGCGCCTCTCGAGTGCAATGGAAGAGAAGGCACGGTGACGGACAAAGAGTTACAGTACCTGTATTTGTTGAGACTGTGAAAACCATGAATAAAGTCTGCGTTTAAAAAATAAATAAATAAAACCACAACCACAGCTAACTTTTTTCAACAAATACAGGTGCGTCTTTGTCCGTCTCTGTGCCTTCTTTTCTTCCGGTCAACTCGAGAGGCGTTCATGACCGCCTCCGAAAAACGCATTGGTATTTCTTTGATCGTAGCTCCAACAGTACGATCAGATGTCAGTCGTAGTTATTTATTCCTTTGTTGTGTATTCACAAATGATGAAATCCCAATATAAATTCTGTAGGGGGAGGGCTATAGAATTTATTTTGTGATATCCCCGCTTGCTTTTCAGTTTTGATGTATTATTTTCAATTTTTGTAGTTTTATTGAAGTAATCGTTAGTTTACGTTTTTCGGAGGTGGTCTTGAACGCCTTGAGTCGAACTGAAGAAGGCACGGAGACGGACAAAGACGTACCTGTATTTGTTGACTAAAATTTAAAAAGTGTGCGTTTTAAAAAACACCACCACAGCTCTCCTTTTTTCGGAGCTGCAACATTAACTTATTTCATAAAGCGGAAATACAGTACTGCATAGCCTCTTTTACACGTACCGTATTTTCCGCACTATAGGGCGCACCAAAAAGTCTTCAATTTTCTTCAAAGCTCACCGAGCGCCTTAAAATCCGGTGCGTCTTTTGTATGGTCATTACGGTAATACGTCGACTCCAAGATGGCTCCTTCCTAGAGACATGCTTCCAATGTTATAACTTGCTGTTGGTTCAGTGAACTGTGTCGCTGCTTTATTAAATAAGTTTGTGTTGCAGCTCCGAAAAAAGGAGAGCTGTGGTGTTAATTTTTTGAAACAGTCTCAACAAATACAGGTACGTCTTTGTCTGTCTCCGTGCCTTCTTCCGTTCGACTCGAGAGACGTTCAAGACAGCCGCCTAAAAAACGTAAACTAACGATTACTTCAATGAAACTACAAAAATTGAAAATAATACATCAAAACTGTAAAGCAAGCGAGGATATCACAAAATAAATTCTATTGCCCGCCCCCTACAGAATTTATATTGTGATTTCATCATTTGTGAATACACAACAAAGGAATAAATAACTACGACTGACATCTTGTTGTGTTATTTTGACTTCAAGATGGCGCCGCAAGAGTGGCTGCCTTTCCAGCAGCTCCTATTTATTTTGTTCTTCTACTTCTTCCTCTCATAATTTTGCTGCTGTGAAGTGGGAATTTCTCCATTGTGAGACTATTAAAGGTTTTCTTGTCTTATCTGATCATAATGTTGGAGCGACGATAAAGGAAATGCCAATGCGTTATTCGGAGGTGGTCATTGAACACCTCTCGAGTTGACCGGAAGAAAAGAAGGGGAGGAGACGGACAAAGACACACCTGTGTTTGTTGAAAAAATGAGAGCTGTGGTTGTGGTTTTATTATTTTTTTAAACGCAGACTTTATTAATGGTTTTCACAGTCTCAGCAAGTACAGGTACTGTACGTCTTTGTCTGTCTCCGTGCTTTCTTCCGTTCCACTCGAGAGGCGTTCACGGGCACCTACGAAAAATGTAAATTAATTCTTACATCAATGAAACCATGAAGAAAATCAAGCGTGGAAATCACAAAATAAATTCTGTCGGGGGATATAGAATTTATTTTGTGATTTCCTCGCTTGATTTTCTGTTTAGATGCATTATTTTCAATTTTTGTAGTTTCATTTAAGTACAGCAATAGTTAATTTACATTTTTCAGAGGCGGTCATGAACGCCTCTCAAGTTGAACGGACGCCTCTCGAGTTGAATGGAAGGAGCATAGCACCATCTAGTGGAGGCATTGTAGATTGCGTCTTTTAACACGAAGCGTCGAATGTATGAAAAAAAAATTCCAAAATAGCCATTCATTGAAGGTGCGCCTCATAATCCAGTGCGTCTTTTCGTGCGGAAAATACGGTTTGTAAATATGCAGGTGCTGACTGGGGGAATATATGTGCTTATCAATACACACACTGCCTACAGTGTAGGCAGTGTGTGTATTGATAAAAAAGTCAAGTAGGAAAGTAAGAAAGAAGGAAAAGAGGACAAATTAAGCTCATCAAGGCAACATTTGCAGCGGTCGCTTAAAATTTCACTCCACTCACCCACCTCACAAAATTAATTTTCCCATCAATCAAAGCAAGTTGTCCTGGTCCTGAGCTAGCAAAGCAGCCACAGCCACAGACCATCACCATGCTTCACTGTTGGCAGAATGTTCTTCTTATCAAATGCTGTGCTATTTTTACCCCAGACATAACGGGCCGCACATCTTCCAAAAAGTTTAATTTTTGACTCATCATTCCGCAGAATAATTTTCCAAAAGTCTTGCGGATCATCAAGATGTCTTTTGGTGAATGTGAGATGAGCCTTTGTGTTCTTTTTGGAAAGGAATGTTTTTAGCCTGGGAACTCTCCAATGGATACCATTTTTGGCCAGTATCTTTCTTATGGAAGAGTGGTGAACACTGATCTGAAGTGAGGTCAGCAAGGTCTGGAGTTCTTTAGATGTTGATCTAGGTTCTCTTGCAACCTCCTGGATGAGTTGTCGTCACACTCTTGGGAGTGATTTTAGCTGGTCGACCACACCCGGTAATTTTTGACACTGTTTTCTCCATTTGGGGATAATGGCTCTGACAGTGGTTTGCTGAAGCCCCAGAGTCTTGAAAATGGCTTTGTAACCTTTTCCAGACTGATAGATTTCAATACCTTTTTTCAAATTTCTTCTTGGATTTCTGTGGCTGGTGACATGATGCATTTATTTCTTGAGATCTTCGAGCCTACTTCGCATTGTCTGACATATTCTATTTTTGTGATTTCCCAATTCAACAAATGTGGTGTAATTAGGTTTGGGTGTGACCTGTAAAAATGACCTCAGCGTTCCCAAATCTGTCGTTAGTCCCAGTTAATTTGTGATTTAACAAGGGTGGTGGGCAGTGACTTTTTCACAAAGAGCAAGATAGTTTTGAATTTTTTTACCCCTAGTAAATGAAATTGTCATGTAGAAACTGCATTTCATATTTGCTCGGGTTGTCTCTGTGATATTAATATTAGTTTGATAAACTGAGACCTTAGTGTGTGATAAATATGCAAAGAACATAAAAATCACGAAGTGAGCAAATACTTTTTCACAGCACTGTATATATTCCTGATCGATAGCAAAGTGTATTTAATGTAACCTGATGTTACTGATGTGCAGCTCCTCCATGAGTTCTCTGGGAAAAAGGAATCTTGAGCTGCTGTCCGCACTTGGGCTGTTGGACACAATGAACACCAGGGGAAATCGACTGGTCTTCACAAAGCACCTTGAAGAAACAGCACAACATGAATGAGCGCAACCTAAACATGAAAATACAGTATATTTATCAAAGACCTGAATGCTCATTGGGAAAAAAGACCTTCAAGTCTTAATGTCGATATAAGTTTTCAATACATTTTTTTCAAAGATGTGAACTTGCTCGTTTCTATTCCAGAGTTTGTACTGGGTCATGAAACCCCTTTGTAAAGGTGACTAAACCATAAAAAAACTCCTCGTCACTTGAGCTACTTAGTCACGTGTTTATGTTTCGCCGCTGTCTTGCTACGTGCGTCATGCACGCCAGCACACAGCATGGGAAGGTGTATTTCTTCAGGATGTAGGCAAAGCTTGATAGCTAACTTCAAATTGTCTTGGTAGAAAAGGGCAAAATCGTTATCAGTAAGGAAGTGGCAACCTCGAATCGCCACAGTTGAAATGAGGGTGCTGAGGACTTATACAGCGAGATAGAGGTGACTCATGATGTTCCTTGTTTGCATCAGCTTGGCCATGTTTTAGCCCTACCTCGTCCACATTTTCGAGCCACCCAAAAATTCCGGACGACTGAGAGGTATTGAAAAACTGAAACTGAAAGTGTTTTTTACACTACATGCAATTTGTTCAAAATGTGCAATTTCTTCTTTCTTTTGCAAAATGTAAGTGCAATTGCATTTTACTTTATATTAATTCATAGTAGTTCTTAGCAACTTGGAGTTGGGCAATGTGCAATACTCTTGTCCAGTGGTACACCTGTACTTACGAAATTAATTGGTTCTGGAAGAAATTTCTTAACTAGAACACATTGTAAGTAGAAACACATTTTTCATGTAAATGCCCTAATCTGTTCCACGCTCCCCCAAAATTCAGATATAAATGTTTTTTAAAGCATAAAACTGCATCAAAATATGTAACAAATACACGTTACAATTAGAATATTGCACAATAAATGAGAGTTGTGCATAATGTAAAAAACAAAGAATAGAGAATAAAAATTATGGTCATTTAACTTTTAACAGCATCCTCATCGTTTTTTGCCCTCTTTAGTTCATGTTCTCTCTCAAAAGTGTTTTTTGCCCTGGCGTTTTGTAAAGAACTGATCCAAAGACGTTTGTTTTTGTCGATTTTTAACAATCCTTCGAATATGTCCAAGGCAGAAATTAGTATTGTGAGTGATCGCCCGTCTGGTGAACACATTTCTATTCACACACATTGACACAATGGCAAAGCAGCTATAAGTATTTTGCATTCAGGAAACTCGGAGCTGCGAGTAGCAGCCCATACTGTATTTTTACCTTTCGTATCTTGAAATTTCTTTCGTAACAAGAGGCAATATTTTCCTGTTGGGTTTCGTAACTTGAAAATTTCATAGAAAGAGACGTTTGTAAGTAGAGGTACCACTGTACTTTCCAATACAGTATACACCAATTACACGCACAGAATAGAATGCAGGTTCATTATTGTGGTTCCTTTGCTTGCTGCACCACAATACAATATAAGTATTTCTTGAACATTTATCAAAATTTGTGATATTTCCTGTGAGGGACATTTTTTTTCCAATCACACCAGAGCTCTTACATCAGGAGTGTGCAACCAGTTGATCGTGGTCGATTGGTAGTCCGTGGACTGTTCCCAAGTACAGTAAACCACAAAAAAACAAAAAAACAAAAAAAAAAAAAAAAAAAACGCAGACATTACTTAGAAATGTTTTTATTTAAAAAAATTATTCGAGTATGATTTGTATTCAACATTTACCTACCCCAATTCCAATGAAAGTGGGACGTTGGGTAAAATGCACATAAAAAACGAAAAGTATAAAATGATTTGCAAATACTTTTCAAACTATCTTCAATTCAACACACTACAAAGACAAGCTATTTAATGTTCAAACTCCAGTGCTGTCAAGCCATTTAATACATATATATATATATATATATATATATATATTTTTTTTTTTTTTATTTTAATCACTTAATCGCATTTTTCCACGACTCTTTTCTATTAAGCTTGTAACAGATATTTACATGAATTAAATCTTAGAAGTAACGTTAAATCACCAAATTTAAACTAGATTTAGATTCAGACTGTTCTAATAGTTTTCTTTGATACTTGAATGCAATTCTTCTCTGCAATATATAAATGTTGAACAAAACAATGAAAACTGATTCATGTTTACAGGCATATTATTATTATTATTATTTTATATATATATTTGTCCAGTTGAAACAATTCAGAAAACTTCAGGTTAAGTAATGCTCACAAGTACCACACTCCAGCAGCAGTGATTTGCAAAGCCTTGTAAGGTAACGTGAGCAGAGTATTTTGCTCTGTGATGATACACGAAAAATGTACATTCATACAACTAATACTGTATTTGAATATGGATTTTTAAAGTGTGCAAGAGATTTCTCCAAGTGTCAGGCAAGTAAATTTAGCTCATGTTAGTCCATCTTTGCTCCCGTGACTACTCTAAGTTTGGCTGCACACACACACACGCACACACACACACACACACACACGCACACGCACGCACGCACGCACGCACGCACGCACGCACACACACGGGCAGAGAACCATAGGAAGTAAATAAAACGGCATTAAATTTTTTTTTTTTTTTTGTTTTGTTTTTTTAAATGCTTTAAATAATTTTAACTACCGTAAATTCCGGGCTACAGACCGCACCTGATTAAGAGCTGCATGCTCAGATTTATGAAGAAAAATCAATTTTGTAATTATATGCGCCGCACCGTACTATAAACCGCTGGCCAATGAGTAGGCGGGGGTTTGCTTCTGCGTCCCTGCCGCCAGGAGCGCCACCTCGGGGTGAGGCCGCTGACGTGGTCTCCCGCTGAATCCTCGCAGAAAAAAAACGCAACATTTCTTAAGGTTCAAATAATCTCCATATTTTTATGAGCATGATGAATGCATTGGCACAACGAAATTACGCTGAAACACACAATAAGAGGCCAGACAAGAGAGATCTTGATGCGCATTTGCGTAATTACGAGGAGAAATACTGCAGCCCACTAGGCTTTAAATAGAATAATGCAAATCATATAAATGGGAAAAGATATATGAAATTATTTCTATAGTCAGCCGCTTAAAAATGATCGTCGTTGGCAGCTTTAGGCCCGATGCTGCGCGGCTCAAAACACAGGTAAAATGTGTTCTCTCGTGGCCGCTTGTTTTCAGTATGACGGGGGAGTCACCTTTTGTATTTACAGTCCAAGTGAGAGGCAAATCAAATGTCAGAGGGTCTTCGTCCATATTTATTATTTCAACTGGCTGATGGAATTCTCCGCTATCTTTGTTTGTGTGAATGTGCGGAACGAAAGCACGTTTGTCCTCGTAATTGGGAGGGAGCTGCCGACACAACGTCGTGCGTGAACTAAAAGACAGGCTTCCATTTCATGAATCTATAACACCACGACGGCCCACCTTTAAAACCTTTAAAAGCTTTGGTTGTCTTTTTACATTGGCGCAGTTCTTCTTGCCGGAGCCTCCACCTTCGCACCATCGACTCGTCTATGTCAAGATTAGGCCAAACAAAAAAGAAGTGTGTTTCCGGGAACAAGAAATTTCAGCATAGGGTCGGTAGGTCGCCGTCCTCCTCCGCCGTCCTCCTCCGCCCTCCTCCGCCCTCCTCCGCCCTCGGTTTTTACTCAGCCCGTGGTGTTCATCAAATAGTCTGCTGATTTTTTTCGATACATCAATGGATGCTATTTTCTTAACATTACGGTGCGAGCACACGACTGTAACACAGAAAACGCAGTTTAAACTGTCGTCGGAGATCGCGGCCGCCGCCATGTTTCAATGTTGTTGACAGACGACAGGGCAAACGACGCACGTGCTCAACGTGAATATCGCGAGAGATTGCACCGATGTAATCCCTCTGCACAAAATGTAGAGGGTTGTTTGAAAAAAATGCCGACCGTAAATTTTTTTTTTCGAGGTAGAAATTCTCGGTCGGTCGGGTTACCGGAAACACACTACCGTATTTTCACGACCATTCGGCGCACCGTATTAATGGGCGCAGTCTCAGTAACGGGTGCTATTTCTGTATTTGACACAAACACAAAACGGACTGTATTATTGGGCGCAGTTTGACAGTGCTAAAACATACGCCAGCTTAAACATACGGCATGCATGCACGCACACTAAAAACGCGTTAGCTTGAAGCATACGGTAGCATGCTAAGACATACGGATACACGCTAAAAACACGTTTTTAAAAAGGCGACGGATGCAAAACTGAGTTCGGTTGTACTTTATTTAGCCATCTTACAATGTACTCACGTTTTTCGATCAATCATCATCCAGAAATCCATCAAAGTCCTCATCTTCTGTATCCGAATTGAACAATTGTGCAAGTACCGGTAAGCCATCAAAAACGCCGGGTTCCCTCTCGTTGCGGGTTCCCTCTCGTTGTCAGAGTCACTCTCATTGCCATGTGGCTCCACAGAAGTGACGCCGGCTTTGCCAAAAGCTCGAACAACAGTGCAAGCAGACACGTTCGTCCAAGCAGCCACAATCCATTCGCAAATTGTGGCGTAACTAGCCCGGCGCTGCCTCCCACTCTTCGTAAAGCTGTGTTTGCCATCGATCATCCATTGCTCCCATGCCGCTCGCAACTTTACTTTGAACGCCCGGTTGATGCCGATGTCCAGTGGTTGGAGTTCTTTAGTCAAGCCTCCCTGAATGACGGCAAGCTCAGTGTTCCTTTGCTTGACTTGGTGTTTCACCGCTGCTGTGAGATGGGCACTCATGGAGTCGCAAATCAAGAGTGACGGCGAGGCATGGAAAAAGCTATCCGGTCTCTTAACATACACCTCACTTAGCCACTCTCTCATCTTCTCCTCATCCATACAGCCCTTTTGGTTTGCTTTCACGATGACGCCGGCTTGAAACTTTTCTTTCGGCAGCGTCTTTCACTTAAAAATCACCATAGGTGGCAGTTTCTGTCCGTTTGCATGACAACCAAGAACGACAGTAAAAACAGACTTCTCGTGCCCCG